CATCAACCACATTCCAAGTGCCTCAATAGCTTTATGTGACAGCTGGCTATCATAGCAGACAGAACCTCCCGATTCTCATAGAAGCTTCTATTGGACTGTGCAGCTCTACAACCACTAGAATCAGGTTCTTAAAGAATTTGGGGGGGGGGCGGCGCCTGTGGCTCAAAAGAGTAGGGCACTGGCCCCATATGCCAGAGGTGGCAGGTTCAAACCTAGCCCCATCAAGTTAAAAAAAAATTCTTTTGTTTTGAGACAGAGTTTCACTTTTTCACCTGCAGTAGAGTGCCATGGCTTCTAGTTCACAGCAATTTCAAATGCTTGGGCCCAAGCGGTCCTCTTGCCTCAGCCTCCCAAGTAGCTGGAACTACAGGCTCCCACCATGTGCTCAGTTAGTTTTTCTAAATTTTTGTTTACAAAAAAAAAATGTTGCCCTGGTTAGAGTGCCATGGCATCATATCTCACAGCAGCCTCGAACACTTGGGTTCAAGTGATCCTCTTGCCTCAGCCTCCCAAGTGGCCAGAACTGTAGGCACCCAGCTAAAGGCCCAGCTGTTTTTAGAGACGGGGTCTCGCTTTGCTACCTGCCTTGGCCTCACTTCAGAGTTTAAGCCCAATCTACCTGCCTTGGCCTCCCAGAGTGCTGAGATTATGGGCGTGAGCCATCTCGCCCAGCATGGGTTTTTAAAGAATACCAAATAACATAAGACAAGTTCATGATATGATGTTAAATAAAGATAGCAGAATACAGATTGGTGATCACAGAAATTTAGATTGGTTATAGGAATTGGAATCATCAATATCTTCATCAAGTTATTTTTGTTTTTTTTTTTTGAGACGGAGCCTCAAGCTATCCCCCTGGGTAGAGTGCCATGGCATCATGCTCACAGCAACCTCCAACTCCTGGGCTCAAGCGAGTCTCCTGCCTCAGCCTCCCAAGTAGCTGGGACTACAGGCGCCCGCCACAATGCCTGGCCATTTTTTGGTTGCAGCCGTCATTGTTGTTTGGCGGGCCAGGGCTGGGGATTCGAACCCGCCACCTTAGGTGTATGTGGCTGGCGCCTTAGCCACTTGAGCCACAGGCGCCAAGCCCATCAAGTTATTTTTGATGAGAGCAAACAAACCCTGCCCTCATCAAGTTCATTGTTTACAAAACAAAAGAAGAAAGAAAAAAAATCTGAAGACTCATAGGTGCATAGTGGGGAAACTGAGCCCATGGAAACTCCTCAGCAGCTAGTAGCTGATTCAAAATCCAAATGCAATTATTATGATACTAAATGTACCAAATGTCAGACCCAATTAATACCATATTCCATGGCTGACAGTGGTCTTGAAAGAAAGGAAGCCATGAGTGTTCCTCTGCCAATGCCACCATACTCACAGAAACAATTTGGTCAACAAACAGCACATAAGAACTTGTAGTACATAAAGCAAAGAACTTCACTGGGTATTTGGCAAGCATGCAAAGGCCCCTCATCATCAAAAAATATCAAATACAATGAAATAACACTTCACTTTAGGGTGCTTAAGACATTGTAGACAACTTACAGGTAATTTGGACCCTAAGAGGCTTCAAAGTTTAAATTAATCAGGCACAACTTTAAAATAACTAGGTTTGCTGTGCTTAAGATAACTTTTTTTTTTAAACTATTAAAAACCATATAGTAACTGGAAATCCTAAAGTCACAGAGTAGATTTGAGAAAGAACCAAAACAAACATTTGGTTTAGCTTTCCATTGGGAACAACTAAAAACACTGAACAAAATGTTTTCTTTTTTTATCTTGAAAGTAGCAGCAAAGAGCTAACAAAATAGTGAGGAAAAAAAAAGATCTGAAAGAAGAATAAAAATTTAAAGAGGTAAGCTCAGCATGTAGAAAGATCTTTTATCTAATGGATGTTTGTCAAGGCCAAAGAGATATCTGAGAGACTGAGCACCACTTCTGTAGGTGAGGAGCAGAAAGGTGAAGTTCAGAGTCCACCATGGATGACTGCTTTGGAAAATCACTATACTTGTGCAAAACAGAAATGGACCAGCTCTAGAAAAAACCTGAAATCTAGTTTTGGGCCATTTAGGCCACTAAAATAATCTTAAGCCCTAAAAATGGACTAAAATAATCCCAGATTCTATCTGGGAGGTCAAAGCAGGTAGATTGCTTGACCTTAGGAGTTCAAGACTAACCTGAGCCAGAGGTTAGTCTCTAAAACTAGCCAGGCATTGTGGCAGGTGCCTGAAGTCCCCAGCTACTTGAAAAGCTGAGGCAAGAGGATCACTTGAGCCCAAGAGTTTGAGGTTGCTATGAACTATGACTCAAGGGCAAAAAAATGAGACCATGTCTCAAAAAAAAAAAAAAAAATTCCAGATTCTAATTCCCCAGGTACCTTATAGAAACAAACCAAAATGTTCTCTATAGAAATAGACCACCATCCTGGACCTTATTAATTCTACGAACAAATTTTCAAATATTATGCCCTCATTCAGTCAAAGACAACCAGTTACACAAGACAGAAGATAAGAGACAATGAAAACAGCCCTGAAGGGCTCCACAGTTCTAATTTATTAGACACAGAGTTTAAAATAACTATGTTTACTGCTTGAGAAAACACAAACCATTATTTAAAACTTTGTATAATAACCAAAAAATCCTAAAAAGTCACATAGCAAGTTTGAAAAAGAACCCAATAGAAATTCTAGATCTAAAAAATATAATAACTGAAATAACTTAATGGACAAGCTCAATAGCAAATTAGACATATGCCAAAATGCATGAAATGGCTATGCAGATGCGCTGCATAGCCATGCCCATCACTAGGTCTCATTATCAGAGTAGGGCTTATATTTAACAAATGCATAGAAATCCTGCTAGGGCTTATTTGGGGTGTAGGTCTTATTTTCAGGGAAACACAGTATCTGTGAACTGGAAGACAAGTTTGGAATGAAGCACAGAAGATAAAAGTTAGAATATGTAGGAAAAAAACATGAGAAACATAAATAATACAAAGAGAAAATCTAACACTGGAATCCCAGAAGAAAAAGTGAACTGAAGCAATTTCAGAGATAATGGCAAAGGATTTTTCCATCTATCCACTAATTCATGAAGTCCTAGTTATCTTCAACAGAATAAAGAAGAAGGAAGCTATACCTAAAACCACCATATTAAAGCTATGGAAAACTGAAGACAAAAAGGAAAGTCTTAAAAGTAGTCAGATTATAAAAGACTCCTTTTAGAGCAGCGGTTCTCAACCTGTGGGTTGCGACCCACAGGAACTGTATTAAAGGGCCACAGCATTAGGAAGGTTGAGAACCACTGCTTTAGAGCAATGATTCTCAACTGGCATGCCTTGAAAGGATCTTAGGTGTGCCACAGAAATTTTTAAAGATCATTAATTAAATTATTTTTGAAAGAAGAACAGTCAATATATCCTTTTTTTTACCCTTTTTTGGTTGACATAATTTTTTAAGTGTGCTGTGCAAGTATAATGATGGGCTTGAGTGTGCCATGAGATTAAAGAGGTAGGAAAATACTGCTTTTGAGGAACAAAAGTTAAAAATTTTACTGACTTTGCAAGAACAACAATGGAAGCCAGGAGGCAATGGAATCTATCTTCAATAGACTGAAAGAAAATCACTGCCAACAGAGAATACTGTACCTAGTACAAATATTTCTAGGAATGAAAGTGAAATAAATCATTTTCAGACAAACAAAAACAGAAATCTCTACCAGCAGATCCTCATTTTTTGAAAAAGATACACTAATATTAATGAAAGTTTTCATGCAGAAGAAAAGTAACCCCAGACAGATGGTCAGAGACGCAGGAGGAAGAAAAAGCCTTACAAATGGAGGTGCTGGCAGGTTGGACTCAGAATGTGATGTGAAGAACTACAAAATGCTGATTTACAGAGAGGTTTTCTTGCTCTACATTAGTTGGAGGTTATATCCACCTATTCTCAAAAAGAAAAGAGTTAAACCCTATCTTACCTCATATTTTGGAATATATATTTTTGCTATATTGGGGTAAAGAAAAACCTGATGCCATGAGGAAGAAGTACATAGAGATGTTGCTGCATGATTTTAAAAATACATATGACCAGAGAAACAATTTCAAAAGTCATAGGCTGAGAGAAAATACTTGCAATAGTTTATCAACTAGGATTAGGTTCAATTGCATGTGAGCTAGGACATAGGGGTCAAAAAAGATGAAAGAGAGAGACTTTTTATGAGAGCTGAGGTAGTATTTTACCATTACAATGCAATAAATTGTTAATCAATAAGGAATAGATGATGAAGTGAAAAATAAAAACTAAGAGATTTGACCTTTTGATGACCGAAGAGACATTCGTTGGTCTAGGGGCTAGTAGCTCTCTGTTTTCCATTACATGAGTTTGAAATATATTATAAATGTAAAATTGTAACATTTATGATACCAAAATAAGATAAGAAATAGCCTTTTCTAGTAGTTTGTAAGAAAAATGTAAACAGTTGTATTTTCAGGAAATTTAATGGTCAAGCACAAACTGTATGTCCCCTTAACGTCCTCCGCCCAGCTCTAGAATCCTAAATTCTGCGAGAATGTCAGTCCTAAATTATTGAGACCTGAGCTCTTTGTTTGAAGGATAAGCCAAGGTGGCCTCTCATGATTCTATTCCGTTGTTCTCAGAGGAAGCATCCCTGGGTAGAAGGATTCTGTCCACAAGGATGCTGGGAAGCGTGGCCCTCTTGGTATACTGCAGTCTCGCTCACCTTATCCATTTTGCTAGAGTCCTTTATTCCAAGGGGTTTCTATAGCATGTCCCTCTGCTTTCCTGAAACCACCATGTGGAAATGTCTGCACTGATGCATTAACTGAGTCAGTTCAGGAATAGCTGGATGGGAGGAATAGCTGTTTGCAGGAATAGCTGGATGGGAGAGCTGACATTCATCATCCACGGAATGTTATTCACAAAGCTGACCACAACCCCAGGCAAATGCAAGGAGGGAAAACTGGGCAGGCGGCTCTCACTCACCTGCCGGAGCTTGGTTCCCACCATGGAGGCACTGCTGTCGAGCACAAAGACCACATTCTTGGGTAACGGAGGAAGGTCTTTAGGAGCAAAGTAGTGCACAAAATAGCCATTTAGAATCTGGTAGAGAGAAGAGAACATAAAAATACTAGGACCTAGAACAAGGAGGAAAAATACCTAAAATGAATAATCTATGGAATGGCTGAAAGCCAAAGACTGCTGGAGTCTAAGGTCAGAATCCACACCCCGAGTCCAATGATCTGTGCTCCCGACCCCTCCAGGAGAACTAACTGCTGAATTACTTTGTAGGAGGATAGACTATTCCCTTGAAAATGTTTCAGTGATCTGGGTGATGGCCACACGTACAGCAGTGACTGAAACATGACCAAAGCGCTCCATGTAACCAAAAGCGTTTGTGCCCCTGTAATATTTTGAAATTAATTTTTAAAAAATGATTAATGATGGCTACTAATTCCACTTTAATTATCCATCCTTCTCTGAACCTTCACTCGAGAATCCCGCTTCTTCCCTTATCTGGTCTTTACCCAGCGTCTTGCCAGTTGAGACGTCAGATTGTCTACATTCAGAGGGCACATTAATATATTTTAATATTCCCACCCTGTCTCTGGAGCAATAAAACCTAAAGGGAAATGAGCCGTGGAGCCGTCTCTGTTAATTAAAATTGAAGATGAACTAAAATTCTAACTTAATCTAAAACACCGCAGGGAAAATCGTATTACAGATTTCATTTGCTCTCCAGATTACTGAAGCAGGAAATAGGTTCCCTTGGCTTCCAGCAAAAGGCCACGGCTAGTCTCTTTGAAGATGCATTTTGGGTTAAAACACATTTACTGAAGAGCCAAAAGTTCTCTCTCCCTGAGGTAAGTGTGGGATCCACAGTTCTGAGTCTAACTATCAATAAAAGCTTTCGGCAGCCAACATGAAACAGCAGTAGCGAAGCCACAAGTACCTGGATGTCCCCAACGCTCTGTTCCCTGTTGACGTCGTATCTAATGACGAAGTCTCCCAAAATCCCATTCTGGGCAATCTTAGCTTGTTGCACCACATTAGGCTTAAAAACTATTTTGGCAAAAGTCTCATTTTGGTTGATAACAGTAGAAGGAGGAGGTCCAGAATCATCTGCAAACAAAATGTAAACATAAAAATTGAACATAGAAATATTTTTCTGAAGAGGAATAAGAACCTTTTTGCACAGACATGTTTTTATCGCAGTACATATATCATAAGAAGTTCAAGGCTTTGTGCTGATGACACACCACAGAGCAAGAGATATTATATCAAATCACTCACCTCTGTGCCCCTTTTGAACTTCTTCTCTCTTTTTTTTTTTATTGAATGGTAGCTATGTACATTAATGCACTTCTGGGGTACAGTGTGGTGTTTTCACATACAATTTGAAACATTTCATCAAACTGGTTAACATAGCCTTCATGTCATTTACCTAGTTATTGTGCCAAAACATTCATATTCTACTCTTAGAAAGGTTCACTTATACCCTTGTAAGATAAAACCACAGAAGTGATCCCTCTGATCCCTCTCCCTCCACCCATTCCCCCCTCCCCTCTCCCTCCCCCCTCCCCATATTCTTAGGCTGTTATTGAACTTTTTCTTATGAAAAACTTTAAAACACAAAAGGAGAGAGAACAGTGAAATAAACCCCTGTGTACCCAGCACCCAACTATTATCAGCATTTCACCAATCTTTTGTATCTATTTTTGTCTGTTTTCCCACCACTTTTTGCTAGAGTATTTTAAAACAAACCCCAGACATCATAGTTCATCCATAACACTTTGCCGTGGATCTGTCATTCTTTCTAACATAACCACAGAACCATTATCACAAGAAACTAAAGTCATGTCCCATGCCTTACACCTAGTACTCAAGTTTGCATTTAAATTTTGCGGGTTCTCTAATAAAACTGTTGGTACAGTTGATTTCTTTGAAAACACATTCCCTCCATCACATTTCATTTTTGTTTAAGTCTCTTTTAATCTATAGTCTGCCCTCCCCCACTTCTTTTTCTAATGCTACATATATGTACAATGACAATTCTGATGGCCATTTCAGAGAGTGAGTTACAAAATTGCTTTAAAGGGTGGAGTAGGCGCTGGAGTCAGGACACAGCTTCCCCAGGAGAGGAACTCAAAGGTGACCGTAGTGATATTCAGCAAGGAAGTATGCAGCACATTTTCTAGGATGAGTTCATGAACTTAATTGCCCAACCTCATATATGGTAAAAAAAAACCAACCGGTCATTTGTCCTGCGGTATTTCTCATGTCCTGTCCTAACATGCTCCCCTTTTCCTCCGGTTTCCAACCTTGGTGCACAGTGTTAGATACGGGAGAGCAATAGAAAATATTGACGTCCGGGTCCAGAGATTCTCATTTCATTGGTCTAGGACTCAGCCTGGGAATGAAGATGTTAAAAATCCCCCTATGTGGTTCTAATGTGCAGCCGAGGCTGAGAACCCAGCATGATCCCCTGTGCTTCCCCATATTCCAGAATCTGGAGACAGGGGCTTAGCTAGTAGCTGGGTTAGGTTCAGGGTCAATGCTGCTGGTGAGAACACTTCTGAGGTGATGCGGAGGCCCTTCCACTTCAGCACATCACGGGCACATAATATCTCCTTGTCTATTTTTAGTGGAGGTGAACATGACAGTGGCTCAGGTGTTGTCAGCCTGACCCATCTCAAGAAAGGTCCCCAGTGATCTTCCACTTAACTGGTTTATAATCACAGATGATGCTAGATCCGCTCTTTCATTGCAGCATGATTATTTCTAATTCCATTTTTCTGCCTATGAAATTATTCCATAAAGAAAACTTTTCTTTTGTCAATTATCGGGCTGCTTTAACACACTATTGTAAAAAGAAAATAAACATCTCAGGACCCCTCCCCTACCCAATTCCTTATTCACAAGACAAGGTCCAGGCTTCAGGCCGCTATGAAGAACTGCCCCATGGAATGGATTAAGGAAAGTCTTTGCTGGCGTCCGATACACTAGGACATGCAAACTGTGCCTGTGCCCCTGTAACACTAAAACTAAAGTCCGTTCTCATTTCACACTAACAGTGAATTACAAATTTATCTTTACGGGTACAAAACAGAGACAAGATAGGATCAGACATTCCTCCACCTGCCCAGAGACATCTACGTAATTGATGCTTCCTTCACTCCATTTTTTCTCCTCTAATAGTGGCCTTGTCTTGTGTAAAATTTTATTTTCTTGGGCCTCACAAGAATGTAAACATTTTGTCTCTCTAAACCCCCACCCCATCTCCCTTATTTCGATATGCCTTTAAATGCTGAAACTTCCAAATTCCCCTTCAGAAAAACAGCCGAAGATTTATCTGTAGTTTCTGTGGGGCATCCTCAACTTTGGCTAAGTAAATCTCCACTGGTTGAGCTCTTTGCCTCAGTTAGTTATTTCAGGTTGACACTGTTTGTCCAGAAAGTTTATGCCTCTTTGCAAAAACAAACAAACAAACAAACAAAAACGGGAACAAAAGAAAAGGAAAAAATTCCCAAAGTTTTTTCTAGTATGAACCTTGGGATATAAATTAGACAAACAGGTAAATAGGTTTCATGTGATTTATGAAAAACTAATGTCATGACAGATTAAGCACAGAACATCCCAGCTTTGATGTCTGGGATTCATTTCCTGTTAGAATACAGAATTGTTCAGCAGACCACCCACCTTTATAAGTCCAAACAGCATCCTATCTATGTATTCAGCAATAAAAATCCAAATTTTGATATATGCATGCACCACGGAGAATATACAAATAAAAATAAGAATTCTTAATCATAAATACGCATAAAGGCTTTTTATCCAGAGACTGAATCAAAACTAAGATTAAAACTGCGGCAACACATCTGATTATCTTTTTAAATCTGCTCAAGCCAATGGCATGCAATAGGCTGACCAGTAATTTCCCACCTCCAGTTAGCAGAATAAAAAGGAAATGAGGCATAGATGGCCACAGTAATTTGTACTTAAGAATAAATATCCTTCTGCTAAGGGTTTATTAGACACAAAAGTCAAAGGAAGTTTAAACATTTCCTTTAAAAGAACAGACAATTTTTTTTTCAGGGACAAATTTAGGTGTAACTCTAACAGGAACCCCGGGTAGAAGTGAATCTTCTATTCTCTGCCCTTATCAAGGGCAGGCATTTGGGAAGTGATCAGGAGCTGGCGAACAGACACGTTTTCACCAGCATGGTCGAAGATGCCTTGGGAAGCTTATGGGAGAAGAAACCAGGCTGAAAGTGCAAAGGTTCTTGAAATCAAAGGAAAATGCATGTCCTCGGGGTTGATCTCTCACTGGTGATTACTGGTGAAGCACCGCGGGTGAGAGCCAGGATAACACAGCAAAGAACTCAGGATCGTGAGTCAGACAGACATGAGCTCCAATATCGGTTCCACTTCTTATCAGCGGTGAGCCCCTGGGCACCTTACTGAGCCTTGGTTATCTCACCCCTAAAGTGGACTAATGACGGGTACCAACTTCACACCATTGACGAGAGTAAGTGATGCAATGCGCCCTAGCACCATTCTGGTTCACAGCAAGCAGCTGTGCGAGCTGGCATTCTATAGCTAAATAGATACAAAGTATACACAATGCTATATAGCTTATATGTACAGAGTAGAAGAAGCAATTCAATATAAGACCGTGAAATATGCCAAACTTGGGATACTACAGGGCAATAAAAATGAGGGAACAACTACTCCCGTTTACAACGTGGCTGAATCTCAGTCATCTTGGATGAAAATGCCAGACGCAGAAATGTATTCCCTACCCTTCTATTTACAGGAAGTTCGACAGCAACCCGAGTGGAATGGTCGTTCCCTCTAGCAGGTGGCTACTGCCTGAAAAAGAGCACAAGGGAATTTGGGGGGATGATGAAAACATTTCATATTTCAGGAGGGAGGCAGAGGTAAGGGTGTACACATATGCAAAAATTCATCACAGGGTAGCTCTGAGATTTTTGTATGTCTACGCCTGTTTTCTTTTTTAAGTTGACATCTGGTGGGAGTTAGGTAGCAGAAGCGGCATTCCCTGGAATAAAAACGAACAATGTTATTTGCCAAACAGACCCCTGTTGGTCCTTTTTCTTAGGATGAACGTGTTTGTGTAGCTGTTCACATGAGGGTTAAGCTGGCCGAAGTAGGACCAGGGACAGAGTTACTCTGCGGAGTGGGGTCTGCTCACCCTCAGAAAGCTGGCCCAGGCAGCTCTCACAGCCTGTCCCATCAGAGTGTTGGCGGGAACCCTGGAATAACCCCACTTGCCCCATCTCCCAGTGTGATCTTGGGCCAGTAGCATCAGTGTCACCTGGGAACTTGCTAGAACTGTTGATGATTCTTTGGCCCATCCTGGAAACTCTAAATTAGAAACTCCAGGGGTGGAGCTCAGCAATGTGTATTTTAATCACCCAGGTGATTCTGGGTTTTACGCATAGGAAGCAGACCTGTGCTTTCACACAGCAAAGCATCAATAAGATGTGTTGTGTGTAATTAGCGTTGAGATTATCTCTAAGATTCTGCACCAATTATCCTCGACTCTCTTTATAACGCCGGCATGTACCTTCTTTGTCTTACTTCAAATCTCTCTCGTGAAAGTGCTTTTTACAGGGACCCTGAATTAATGCCATTCATGGCTGCATAAAAGCACTGGGGATTAGAAATTATAATTTCTCTCTTCATAATTCATTTGACTGGGCTCTTTGATATAGACCATGAGAAAGGATACAGTATTATTATTTTGGTTTCCTATTGACCTCTGGTGTTTGCTGGTTCACGATGAAAATTCATGAGTTTCGCCTAAATGGGCTTATTTTCTGTGCCCCAAGAGTGGGCTGGTCCTCAATCTGGTTACTCACAAGAAGCTCAGTTCCTGACACTGATTTCCACTCATTAAGTACCAGACAGCGAATGTGACCCAATGAATTTTCCACTACCTATTTTTTTCAGTAAAAAAAAAGTTTACTGGGAATCTCTAGAAAATAAAACCCTCTTTTTATGAGAGGAGAAAAAGAAAAATCTATTAGGTTAGGACAGACTGCTGCACAGTCACTGACCTAAACCCCAGAGCAGATAATGCTGTGTCATTTCTCCCG